GGTGGTGCACCTAGGTAGCTGGTGGTGCACATAGGTAGAGGTGGTAGGTTGGCAGGTAAATCATGGACATATAGGTAGCTGGTGGTGCACCTAGGTAGCTGGTGGTGCACATAGGTAGAGGTGGTAGGTTGGCAGGTAAATCATGGACATATAGGTAGCTGGTGGTGCACCTAGGTAGCTGGTGGTGCACATAGGTAGAGGTGGTAGGTTGGCAGGTAAATCATGGACATATAGGTAGCTGGTGGTGCGCATAGGTAGAGGTGGTAGGTTTACAGGTAAATCATAGACATATAGGTAGCTGGTGGTGCGCATAGGTAGAGGTGGTAGGTTGACAGGTAAATCATAGACATATAGGTAGCTGGTGGTGCGCATAGGTAGAGGTGGTAGGTTGGCAGGTAAATCATGGACATATAGGTAGCTGGTGGTGCGCATAGGTAGAGGTGGTAGGTTGGCAGGTAAATCATGGACATATAGGTAGCTGGTGGTTGGTGCGCACAGGTAGAGGGGTCATGTGTTATATAGGTGATATAGTTTCGTTTCGGTTCGTGCTGCGGTGAAGCTTGAAGGCAACGTCAGACTTGTCTCTGTGTCTCGTGCGATGTAAGCCGTTGACGATAGAGATCACAGAAAAGCCAACACTTTTTTATGGTAACAGATGAGATGATATTTTATTCTACTCAGAGACTACTGATGCAGACTAGTGTAGTACTGCCTGCGAAAACTGTAAACTTTGTAAGAACTGGTAAACTTCGTAAGAACCTCGTAAGAACTAGTAAAACTTGTCACCACTGCCCGCGCGTCGTGCGCGGTGTCAACCTGCGCCCACGCTTGTCGTGCGCGGACTCAACCTTTTTCTGTTCTGCCTAAGCTACTTTATACTCCCCCAAATAAATCAGCCCCTCCCCATGCCTGACCATTGGTCAGACACTTGATTTCTTCTGTTTGTTGATTCGTTAACTAAATTATTTCTACATGGTACACTATGACGTAGTTATGGTGTACTGGACTGTGCTGCCATGATGGCGACAAGTGGGAATCTACTAAACTAAAAGATATCTATTTCTTTGGTGTAATGACCTCGCAAAGCCCCATATATAGACTGGGACTACGTGAGATGCTTCTAAACTCGATCGTCACGAACGTATCACATGTGGTCAACACGCACGCTTGCCGCGTATTCCTGGCCTGCGCGCGACCAACCCGTGCTAACCTTACGTAATGAAATGCTGCTAATACGCGCCGCGCGGTCAACGTTCGCTGCTGCCTAGCTATATACTGATACTAAGTCATTGCTAATTTCAGTTCTACTTGCTCGCTACTGCTGTAATATTATTTAATTATGCGCTCGCGCGTAGCGCAAATATCTACACATATGTTGCCAACGAACACCACGTATCTTCTCAAACCAACTCTACTCTCTACCTTCTAATAATTCTAAACTACAGTAACACTGTTACACATGTGGGGAGTGTAGAGGAAGAAGGGCATATGTGAGCCTTTCGGCAACGTAAGCTAGCAACAGGGCGGTGGCAGAGAAGAGATGGTGTGAAATACGGGGGAGGTAGGGTGGGGTAGGTAGAACATCGGAGGTAAGCTACGTGACTGTGGTGGTGGCAGTGTGACGGGGGAGGTAGGGTGGGGTAGGTAGAACATCGGAGGTAAGCTACGTGACTGGTGGTGGCAGTGTGGGGATCATAAAGGTTGAATAACCAGATTTGAGCCATGTGGCAAGGTAAGCTAGCTACTGACTAAACTCGACGTTTTGCATTGACGTTCGTGCGCGCGCCGCGGCATGAGTTAAAGCTTTGACGCGTCTGTTACTTGCTTTCAGATCGATCACATTCAGCTGATGATGGACAGCGAGACGGGCCGATCGCGTGGATACGGGTTCGTCACTGTAAGTACGAACAAACTCCCTCTCAATCGCAGCTCTGCACCTCTGAATCTCTGTATCACGCCGTATCTACTTGTCTCTCCCCATTCATGCGTGTCTGTACCTCCATCTTTTTGTATCACTATTTCTCTGTATCATGCAGTCTCTCCCTATCTCCCGGCATCTCTCCTTGCCTCTATCTTTCACCGCATCCCTGCGTCTCTCTGTGCCTTTATCTCTCCTTCTCTCACCGGATCTCTCCCTCTCTCGCCATATCTCCCTATCTTACCGCATCCATGCGTCTCTCTCCATACCTCTATCTCACCCGCTCGTCTCTCTCTCTCCTCTAGTTCCACAACGCGGAGGATGCTAAGAAGGCGATGGAGCAGCTGAATGGCTTTGAGCTGGCGGGCCGGCCGATGAAGGTCGGGCACGTCACCGAGCGATCGGACGCGTCCAGCGCCGCATCGTTCCTAGACAGCGACGAACTCGATCGCACGGGCATCGACCTCGGCACGACGGGGCGCCTACAGCTGATGGCCAAGCTCGCAGAAGGTAAGAGAGAGAGAGAGAGAGAGGAGGGGTGAGGAGAGCAGGAGGGAGGGGAGCGTGCAGGATGGGCATTTGGGATGGGGCGGAATCTTGTGATCTTTGTGTCGTAATTTCGAAGTAGCGTATAGTTTGATAATGTCAACTCCTTTACCGTTGCTACGGAGGAATAAAAACAGTTCACCGGTGTTGCAGCATTGTGTTTACGCTGTGTTGCGCCGGTGCTGCATCGCGCTGCTTGTTGTTGCATCGTGTAACCGGATTGTTGCGGGCTATGTTGCAGGCACGGGTCTACAGATTCCGGTAGCAGCCGCCAACGCCCTCAACATGAACCCGCTGGGAGGCATCGCCACCCTGCCCGGCGCCGCGCCACTAAACTTCGGCAACCTGCTCCATCCTCAGCCTCCGCAGCAGCAGCAGCAGCAGCAGCAGGTGCAGGCTGCGGCGCCGGCGATCGCCACGCCCTGCTTCATGCTCTCAAACATGTTCGATCCTGCCGTGTGAGTGTAATACGCAGGCGTAGAAATTAGTTTGAAAATTTACAGGCCAGCCGGGCCTGTAGGTAAGAGATATTACAGGCTCGCCAAACAAATTTTACAGTCTTAGTTCACAGTCGCCTCCCCGTCATTACTTGTGGCGTGTTATGTCGTTGCGTTACGTGACATCGTTTATCTGGTCACGTATTAGTGTAGCGTTGTATGTCACGTCGCTGCGTTACATGATTGTTACAACCTCTCATCATCGCATGTCTATCTCTCTAATTGTGTGTTACATCACCGCGTTACATGACCCTTGCGTTGACATGTCTCTCCCCTCTCTCCCGCCCGTGCAGAGAGTCGACGTCGGGACCTAACTGGGATGCTGAGATCCGGCAGGACATCGTGGACGAGTGCAACAAGCACGGTGGCATCGTTCACGTGTTCGTAGACAAGGGATCTCCACAGGGCAACGTCTACGTCAAGTGTCCAACGATACAGTCAGCCGCGAACTCCGTCAATTCCCTCCACGGGCGCTGGTTCGGAGGTAAGCAAGGGAGGAAGATAATAATGATGGAGAGAGAGGGAGGAGACAATGATATATATATATATATATACATATACATACGTACGTACGTACGTACTTTCGCACGCACGCACGCACGCACGCACGCACGCACGCACACATACATTCAGGGTTCGACACTAACGCTAGTCCGTTAGTCCGAGACTAGTAAAAAATCAGAAGGACTAGTAGATTCCCATAGCAGTTAGTCCGGCGGGACTAGCTATATTTTCCCCGTCCCTCACCGTCCCAATTTTTTCTCATCGATTTTACCGGCGGCAGCGTCTCTCATCCAAGATCCAAAGAGCTATATATAACTCGTCCCCATTAACAAGTTTTCCCTGTTAGACGCGCTAGTCCAAGTAGAGTAGACTCGCTCGACGCATATCCATGATAACGTTAATATAGCGAAGTCATTAAAGTTACACAGCTATATCTTTATTACTGTACTACCGGTATAGAAAAGCTTATCAACGCGGTGGCCGGAGGGCGCACTTGATTCGGTTGCCAGATAGTTTATCAGAAGAATACCCGGCTACAGTACACGTCCGTTGAGCGCTGTCGCTCTGCAGCACTTGTTTAACATTCATTTCACAAATAAATAGATAAATTACTAAACGAAGACAAATCTAGTCTCGCGTGTCGGTGTACGTATTACTACCGATTACTTCAGCGTGGAAATTATTAAACGAGTTTATTAAACGCATTCGAAAAATTGCGAGAAATCTGCTTTGACACAGTTTCGTCTCCGAGGCGTGTAGCAGGCGTGTGTGAATCGTAGACGACACGTGACTAATCGGCCTCGCTTTTCTCTCGCGCGCGCATAGGAAGAAGAAGAAGAGGAGCAGGAGTCGGGAGAGAGACACACACAGGGACAGGGACAGGGACCGGGGCAGTGATAGGAGGGACAGGGATCGTGACCGCGACGCAGACAGGAGCAGGAACCGAGGCGGCGGCGACAGACACGGGCGAGGCCGCGACAGCTTCCGCGGAGGAAGGAGGAGGTGTGGGAGACGCACGCGGCGCGCGAGGCGACGTCCTCGGTCTTTAATGTTGCAAAACTTTGCAGCTAAATGCATAGATGTACTGTGAGCTCGTCTATGTTGCAAAAATTCAATACAACTCATTTGTCTTGCTACTTTCATGACATTTCTTCTCAAAATCTAAACGAAATTACTTCTCTTACGAAAGTAGCACCACAGTGATGTTTACACATCCGGGACACAGCGGAGCGATTGGCTCGATTCATTAACAGTTCCTTTCTATGATTGGATTCTATTATTACGTTCTTGTTCTTTAACAGCCGTCGTCAAACCCGTGTAACTGCAAAGGCGGGCTTTGTTTGTTTACCAATATATAAACAGTGTTTTCTTGAGTGGCAGTTGTACAGAAAACCACCTCAGTAGAACAGACACCTGCAGGGTGCGAAATTAACGGGAGTCCGGAGTCAAATACTTCCTGATTTAATATCACACTTCCTGATTTGACATATGCAGGAGTCCGTGTGACTTCCTGAAAATTCTGCCATATTAACACGTTCAACGCGAAACACGAGTATACTCGTTCGAACCTGCAAAACGCACGGCCGCGAAACACAAATATACTCGTGGCCAAAAAAAAAAGAAAATTTGGAACGTTTACTATGTTCTCCTATAGATGGCATGGGCTGTACGCTTATAAATTCAACAGCGTCACTATACAAACCCCAGTAGTAGATGACATAATTTATACAATACTTTACTGTTGTTTGGAACGTTATTTTTGGGAGTTTTTGGGACTGAGGTAATGTTTTTCGTTCACCGGGCCAAAGGGCGTTTGACCTCCGGTTGTTGTAAAGTTGTTTTGATGTCTGGGAGTTGTATTTGATTTGATTGAACACGGGTGATTAATTACGGGTGTTGTTTTGATGTCTGAGAGTAAGTTTATATCTATATTATACTAGCGACTAATTATAAATAATTTTATAGCTAGTTAAACCTGCCAAAAACATTTTGTGTAATCAGTGATTAAGCGGGGAAAACGCGAAAATCTCAGCACAGGGCGGTAGGTGCATTGTTAAACATGCAGCGTTCAACGTGTTAACTAGTTCGTTCCAGAGCATGGCCTCACGGAATTACCGTATTTTTTCAGCTAATGTCCAAAGAAAATTGGGCAGACGTGCAACCGCATGAATCTTCAAAATAAGCACATGCGTTATTGTTAATATCTTTAATTTTGAACCTTAAACTGCGGACTCCATCTTTTTGAGAGAATCTCAATAATTGTTCCCTTGTTCAAAAGTTAATTTCTACCTCTGCACCTGTCTATAAAGGACTCTACGGGGGTTTCTCTTGACTGATGCTAACGTACAGGCAAGAGCGTATGTGCACTACATTCTGCACTGTATTGCGCTATCATTCCGTAGGCCTTGCACTGTATTGCATTGTCGGTTTCAGGTCGCGGAGTCCGCGCAGGAGGGGTGGCGACCACGACAGATTCCGCGGTAGAGACTCTGGCAGGTACGCGCTCTCTCTCTCCGTTTATCCGTCTGCCGGCCGATCCCATCTCCCCGTCTGATTCCTCCTTGTTGCTATGCGACAGTGGCCTCTAGTTTGACAACGATCGCACCACGTTTCCTCCCTGTCATTCCTAGTCCTTCATAATGCTTCCCCCAAGTTGGAAGAAATCCTGCATTCTTTCGTTTCCACCTCTGGTTGTCGCCGTGTCGTTTTTCGGCGCATCCTCTAGATTCCCATCTGAATGTTGCCTTCTGTTTAATTTTATTTAATTTTTAAAAGAAATCCTGCATTATTCGTTTCACCCTCGCATCCTGCTTGTCGCCGTGCCATTTTACGGTGTGTCATTTCGATTCCCGTTAGAAAGTTGCGTTCTATTTTCCAACGAAAAAATCTGAAATGTGTGGTGCGAGGCATGTCACAACCCTCGATGCGATCTCGGAAGTCCCATCTCTGTGACGTGCGGTGATGGCATGCATGTGAATGGTTAACCAGTCGTTTACTTTGTTGGCGCGTCTCGGCGACATTGAGCTGTGGATTGCTTGTGTGTGGGTGTTAGCGTTAACATAAGGCGGGGTTAACGTGTTGTTTGCTTTGCAGGCATGGCCGCAGTGACAGCAAGAGCCCAGGCAGGGGTGGGAAGGGTGACAATCTCCCCGGCTCGTTCAAAAGGTAAGTCTTCATTCTCGTAGCTTCGATTTCCGTACGGGCGTTCCTTGTTCGGCTCGCTGCGAGTGCGAGAGACACACAGAGAGGGAGAGAGACAGAGTGATAGTGAGAGAGAGACCGATAGTGTGAGAGAGAGACCGATAGTGTGAGAGAGAGAGCGATAGTGTGAGAGAGAGACCGATAGTGTGAGAGAGAGAGCGATAGTGTGAGAGAGAGAGTGATAGTGTGAGAGAGCGAGAGACCCTGGGCCCGAGAGAGAGAGAGATAGAGAGAGATTACGTACTGAGGCACATACTTTACGATCCTCACGACCCCTCACCTCCATCTCTTCCTCTTCTTTGCGCGGCAGGCGTGACGGCCCGGAGCTGACGCCGGAGGAGCGCGATCAGAGGACCGTGTTCTGCATGCAACTGGCGGGGAGATGCCGGGAACGCGACCTAGAGGAATTCTTCTCATCCGTCGGACAGGTGAGAGAAAAAATTACTCTAGCGGGAAAAAACCGATTAAGCAACGCGGGCGCGGTCGTAGATCGCCTCTCAACTCTCGGCTAAGCTCTGAGGAAATTTACTCGTCATTCTAAACGAGGGATGTCCACAGACTCCACACGCCCCTTCTTCGACCTTGAATGTCGCCTCGAGGTCGGTCCAGCCACACGAGTCTGTATGCATTTTACGCACGTGCATAATTTAGACTTTGCTCGACTTCGTTGTCGTGCACTGTGTTTAGAACGTCGTTTCGCAACGATGATTCGCCTCCCTGTCGGGTCATTCCCGTAGATGGGTGAATTACTACTCTGTTCACGATAGGCGAATCACTCTGTCATTGTTAATGAACTGGTTGCGCTTGTAGGGGAGTTATTAACGGTGAGACAGTACCTCGTTACTCCCCCTGTGGTGGTTGTTCGTCATCGTAATCACGCTTCGCCGCGCGTTTCAGGTGCGAGACGTGCGTCTGATCGTCGACAACAAGACGAGACGGTCGAAGGGAATCGCTTACATCGAGTTTGTCGACCCGGAGTCCGTGCCCCTGGTGAGTCCGCGGTGCCTCCGCCTTTGGGAGGCGATGGCGACGTTTGCTGAGCTCAGGAGCCTGTGAGCACATGAATCATTGTGACCGGCGCGAGTTTTAAATATCAGAGAGTTTCCGCACGACACTTATAAGTCACGACATTTTAGATTTACGGTTGTCACAATTATTTACGATCTCGTCATCTGGTAACTACTTACAATAGTTACTTATAGTAGTATGTTTCTTACAACTTATGACAACTTCTCCCATCCCCCGAGACTCGCGCAACTGAACGCCGTGAGCGTACGGCTGCTCTCTTGTTTAAACATCCTCGCGGGACTTCGCAGGCGATGGGGTTGAATGGACAGAAGCTTCTCGGAGTTCCAATCATCATCCAGCCGTCGCAGGCGGAGAAGAATCGTGCGGCTCAGTCGACGACGCCAGGCGTGGCGCAGCGCGGAAACGTGGGGCCCATGAAGCTCTACGTCGGCTCTCTACACTTCAACATCACAGAGGACATGCTCAAGGGCATATTCGAGCCGTTCGGCAAGGTGAGCTAGATGACTACGGTGGGATTTCGCTGTAAGGTTGACAGGTAAATCATGGACATATAGGTAGCTGGTGGTGCGCACAGGTAGAGGTGGTAGGTTGGCAGGTAAATCATGGACATATAGGTAGCTGGTGGTGCGCATAGGTAGAGGTGGTAGGTTGACAAGTAAATCATGGACATATAAGTAGCTGGTGGTGCGCACAGGTAGAGGTGGTAGGTTGGCAGGTAACATACATACATACATACATCAGTACATACATACATACAGTACATACATACATACATACATACATACATCCATACATACATCATACATACAGTAATACATACATACTACTACATACATAATACCATACATACCTACATACATACATACATACATACATACATGACATACATACATACATACATACATACATCCATCATACATACATACATACTACATATCTACCTACATACATACATATCATACATACTACATACATAATCATACATACATACATACATAACATACATCATACATAGCATACATACTACATACCACATACATCACATACATACATACATGGACATACATACATACCATACATACATACCATACATACATACGATACATACATACCACATACATATAAATACCGACTATAGTTATTCTATAGTATATTACTATAGTGTGGTGGCGT